TATATATATATATATATATATATATATATTTCTTTCGTGTATTCTCATAGCAACACGTATAGCTATATAACAAAAATGATAAATGATTAGATGAAAATGATAACTTTTTATCAGCATTTTATCAATGAGACAATAACATTGAATGAAATAATTGAATGAAAAATTGCAAACAATTTAATCAAAAAAATTAATCAAAATAAAATTATAAAATTAAAAATTAACATTTATTGCAAATTTTCTAAAATAATACAAATAACAAAAACAATAAAAGATTAGGTACATTTGAAAAAGAAAAAAAATAAAGATGAAAATTTGCAATTTGGTTAAATTTAAACTTATTTTAGCATTTTTTATCGCCCCATTACATGAAGAAATTTTAAAATTTATTTTTAACCAAATTAATTTGAAGTAATTTAGAATAATTAATGATTTATTTACATTTCACAAATCACAATTTATTAAGTGAAAATTTCAATTTTAGCTAAATAATTACAAATAAAATATATGAATAGTTAACATATACATATGATAATTTGAACAATCAATAATTCAAAATAATCAATATAATATTTGAATGCATAGAAGTGATAAGTTTTTTTTTTAACCAGAAATTAAATATTCATCGTTTCATTGATAAATTATCCCTCCCAATTCTAGTTACATTGAATTGTTCAAATTTCACTAATTCCATCATTTTCATTCAAAATACAAATCAGTAACAAATACAACTCTATGTCATATATTTCAAATTTCCCATTAACTATAATCCGCTTTCATGAGTAGAAATTTTTCGTTTACCGGATAATAATGGTTCTGTATATGGTGGCGGATTTATACGATTTGAATGAAAACGTCGCCAAAGTGTTGCGATTAATTCACAGGTGACAATATCACCTGAATTAGCTTTTATTAATTGCAATAAGAAGATACCATCTGGACGAAGTTTTTCATCAACAAATTCATCAATTAATGCACGATAACGTGTTGTATGAGCAATTGCTGGATCAATCTAAAAATTTTCAAAATATTAAATTTTAATATAATTTGAATTTTAAATTTGAAGCAAATAAAAAAAGGATAAAACAAATAAATAAATATAATAACAAATTTAAAAAAGAAAAAAAAATACAAAATATTCAAATATAGTATGGGAAATGTTATCAAATATTTATTAAAATTAAAATTTAAAAAATAAGAAAAGAAAAAAAAGAAACGAAACCTTTTCAAGATAAATACCAATCATTTCTCGTCCAGAAATATTCATAAAGCTTGCAAATAACCATTGTAAAAGGCTTACAACACTGAAATATATATTTAATTAGTAAAGAAAATAAAATTTTAATTAAAAATAACATATTTTCATGTAACATTTTGTTTTAGACTTTTTTAAAAATTAAAATTAATGAAAATTTAATTAATAAAAATATAATTTAGCAAATTTTTTTCCATTGAAATATATTTTTTTATTATAAATTAAAAAAAAAATTATATTAATTTCTCTGAATAAAACAAAAATTCATCCCTATGATCAATTTTTTAAGCATAAATCACCATTTTTTCTTTTTTTAAAAGAAGAAAAAAAAATTTTTTTTTCGTTTATAATTTAAAAAAATTATATTTTAAAATAGAAAACAAACATTAAAAAATTTCTGAAAACTTATTAGCAAAAATTTTTTAAAAACAATATAATATAGCTTAGATTGATATGAAAAAAAAAAATGATAACATCAATAAATAATCAGTCAATCAATCAATCAATCAATATAGCATTAGTGATAAAAGTGTAACAATATGATATAATAACTAACCTGATAGTAGAAATGATAAGTAACCAAAACCATAAAAATAAAAAATTTTTTCATTAAACATATTAATCATTAATACACATTGTACAGTATGTCGATGAAGATTACCAAGTACACGTACCTAAAGATGTTTTTGAAATTTTAAAAAAATATAAATTTAATTTTGCATATTATTTAATCAACATTTGATTAGCTAAATTCATGAGTTAATTATGCTAATTAATTAACTGAGCTAAAAGGTAATTGAAACAACACAAATAATTAATTATAAACTCATAACCTTAAAAAAATAATAATTTTGAAAATGAAAAAAAAAAAATGAAAGAAAAAATGGTAAAAAAATTTTTAGTTTGCATTCTTTTTTCTTCATAACATT